ACAATCAGCTTGGAAACCAAAAAAAGACAACTTAACATCTTGAATTTTCTGGGACAGAAACTCTTGAGGAACCTCTAGGCTGTTTTTTCTTACAGTATCCAAATATGTAAGTTTTTTCTTAGTAAACTGACCAATGATATACTGCTAAACCAGTTGTCTGCCGTAATATTACGACTGGTACCTGCGATGGGCTCTACTAATCGAAGAGTTATTTCGTTACTGGTATTTACAAATTTGTATGGACCTTCTGGTCGAGTTCCCACGTAAATTTTCCAAATTGAATGCTTTTTGCGTCTACCAGAGCAAATGTTTTAATGCTATATTTGGCTGGCTTCGTTGAGATGTACTGCTTAAATGCACAACGTCCCCTAAATGCTGATAGTTGTTCATCTACTGTAAGATATTCACTAGGAATGAAGTTATTTTGGAAATTCACCAAAAATATTTCCAGAAGTTCTCTAATGAGTGCAAGTTTATCAATTGCTCTTCGCTCTGTTCTTGTCTCTACATCATCAAACCGTAGACATCGTATGAGAAATCAAAACCTTTTCTCGCTCATTGCCAGGTAGCATGACTCAACTCCGGATCCTTGAGAATTATCCCTTTATTTATGTAATTTTTTTTGGAACTTCTAAGAATACCTATCAAGAACAATATCCCAATTCATGTACCTAGGAATTTCAGTTTCATAAGTTTGTCTACAATCTGGATTTCTTTGGTAATTGCTCTGTATCTTTTCAATAAAAATATTTGTCGAGACAGTAATTACTCTAATAACTGTTTCATCCAAACATAACTTCAGGCAATCGATTTCAGTTTCAACAGTGCTTGAGTTTCCTTTTGTACCAGGCATAAGTTTGATGAGATTCTGAAAACGGATACTAACTTGTAAATTGGATCTATTCTTTTTCCATTTAGTCACCCTGTCTTTTCCTATGTAAAAATTTGAAGGACGTGCTTTATCAGAGTCGTCCGACGTTCCTTTATCCTGGGCCAATTCCTCTTGCACCGATGTGTCTAATTCAGAGTCTGTTTCGCGATCACTCCTTCCAGAAAAATTCACATTCAAATCGAGATCATCTTCGGACTCATCATCACAGTCTTCTTCTTCCCCACTTGATATCTCCGTAAACTATCGAGACCAAACTTCCAGGTCTTTGCTTCGTTCAACCAGTCTTCTTTTATTATCAGACATAGTATTATCTAAAATATATCACAGTAACTACAAGTGTACCAAATGGTAATAAATAAAAGGTACCTTGAATTTTGCAAACAATAGAATTAAATATCTGCAATTTAGCTAGATGTTGTAACGTCAGTGGACACGTGGTCTACCATCGTAGACCAGTACTGTTCTATGCTTGACAAAATACTCAACTGAAGTGCCAACACAAATAAATCCATAAATTTTAATAAGACGCCCGTTAGCAACAGCTACTGAGATTGCACGCACATGTAAGAGCAAATGACAGAGATATACAAGTGTTTAAAAAGAGGTGGTCTACGATTGTAGACCACGTGCCTAAAGGAGGGTTAATTAACCTGCACCTCGTTGCTGTATGCTGTGGCGCTTGAAACTTAAGTTAGTAAAAGACTAACTGAGTAACTTTATAGTAGAAAAGATGATAGAAAAGGCAGAAAGACAGTATTCTGGTAGCTCATGCGAATCAGAATGGGATATGTCTATATGAATAAGAACTATATAATACTTTTGTAGGAATATTTGTATAAATGTACACCTATTCATTATACATTAGAAGATAAGAGCCTCCATGGCATGTAGTGTAACTATTTTATTATTTCACGTAACAGCAAAAAAATACCTGAATGTATTTTATTTTATATGAAAGGTTACAGTGTTAGTTCCAGCGTTACGCACTTTTTTATTCGTAATTAAATTTTCCAAGCAAATGATATTGTCAGACCATGAAGACATTAAATTACAAAACACCTATTCGATTTTTACACAAACTCACTGTTACATAATGGCGTGATTACGTCCCGATTTCGTTATCGCTTCTACAAAAGAGTAATTCTAAATTAAACGTGTCAATTGCAAAACACGTGCAATCACTGGAATAAATTGGCGAATTAAATAATTTGCATTAAAGAATTTTTGTAATTAATAACAAAACATGTAGTTTGGAATAAATTTATGAGATTTGTTCCAACACAAGGCTTTTGTGTGATATAGTAAATCATAAAGTGAAACAAACATTCATTGTGGTTCTTAAAATTGAGAAAAAGTTTCATTTGATGGTATTTATTGTGTTATATACTACTTACTATAAATTTCCATAGTTTTCATTCTATTTGTTCTCCCAATCGTTCATAGTCCAGGCGGAATCTGTTTTAATTGAACAGAGTCTATAGGAGTCAGTCGCAAATCTTGTACTTAATTTTTTATTTAACAAAATCTAAAAAAAAAATGAAAATCTCATCATTTAGAAGATTGTTAAGGATTCCATGGGTAGATAGAGTCACAAATACAGAAGTGTTAAGGAGAATAAGCAGAGGTAGGGAAATGGAAAATACAATAAAAGAAAGGAAATTGTACTATCTCGGACAAGTGATGAGAGGCGAAAGATACACCATCTTGAGACTCATAATTCAAGGAAAAATAGAGGGTAGGAGAACCGTAGGAAGAAGACGCATTTCCTGGTGGAAGAACCTGAGAGAATGGTTTGGTTGCAGCCCAAAGCAATTGTTCAGAGCAGCTGCCTCGAAGGTCAGAATAGCCATGATGATTGCCAACCTTCGTCGCGAAGATGGCATTTAAAGAAGAAGAAAAAATGGAAAATTTTTGATTTTTACGACCTTATTATCATCTTTAACTTCAAAGATAATTGCTCCTACAAAAAAATATAAAAGGTAAAAGTTTAGTTTTTCAATTTTTTTCCTTTAAATTTTTTCGACTCCTTAAACATAACTTACAGCCTTTACATTCAGCCTAGAAAAACTTTATAACACGACTGAAACGTGTGCTAAATTTCGTTAGGATCATCAAATACCAGATTAATGGACCTTGTCCAAACGATTGAAACCAGCCAACTGAAGGGCGGGTTCTGGAGGAAGGAACTCAATTGGCAACGCCTATTTTATCCAGCGGGATCTGTATATTTCCTTAAAAATAAAATCCTTTAAGTTGACCTAGTGTCAGAATATTTAAAAAATTTAGTATCTTAAATATGTAACATAAGGGTCATCCAGTCTCGTTATGTAGGTACTTTCAACTGCTCTTTCGATGTTTTCCCTGATACTGGCCCAATAGGAAAACGTTTTGAATCTTTTAATCGTTTTTGGATTATTTAAATTTTTTAAATAAATATATACCATTGTACGTCAAAGGTTTTTACTTCATTGTAATTTTTTAACTATGGTATAAATGGTATACTGTGGTATCCATGGAATTGATTTTTGACTCCACAGTATGTCTTATTTGTTAGTTATATTCGCTATCTTCGCTTATTTTCGTAGTAGTCACCAGCGACCTAAAGTTTGCGAAGTTATTAACACGTTCAAATATATGCATCCTTAGTAACTAACATATACTTGGTTTCTCGGACTTCCTTTTCCAAGACAATATTAAATACGAGGCAAGCCAGGCCATTTTCTTGTCTGGATCCATCCTTTATCTCAAAAGTTGTAGAATTCTCTCCCTGTATCCTAACACTTTCTTTTAAATTAGATATTTTCATTCTCGTTAATCGGATAATATACCAAACTCACGCATCGATTACACGTCTTAACACTGTCGTACGCGTCCTTGAAATCGACGAATAGGTAATGTGTTTCAATGTTAAATGTCTTAGTGAATGAATCTGGTCAATTGTTGATTTTTCTGGAATGAATCCGACCTGGTATTTTCCACTGTGTAAACTTGTAGCCTTTTATAAATGCTTTATAAATATTTGTATTTTTCACAGTGATTCATTTCTTGCTGTATTTCTTCCACGATTAGATTTTGTTGAATTCCCCCAATATACATGTATTCGGTTTTCTTGATATTTGCTTCTAGTCCCCATAGTTCGTATTCTTCGAAAGTTCTTCGAAAGTGTAAGTTTACGGGTCATCTATTCGAGGTCTTCATAATCTTGGTTCATCACAATCTGGTCGTCTGCAAAAGTCAATGTATATAATATTGCGTCGTTTAGAGGAATTCCCGAGGTCTTTTAGTTGGTATGTCACTGCTGTTCCGTGAATTCTCTGTTTCGTAGTCAGGATCTTCTTCAGACTCATTCTCAAATGGATCATCATTATCAATACTCATATCTGATATTTCATCCCATAATGCATGAAGCCGGGCCTGTTCTCTCTCATATGATAACATTTTATACACTTATACAAGAAAAACTACCTTTAGGAATAAATGAACTGCACAATGCAACGTTTAGAGTTGAACTAGCAAATACAAGCCAACGTCACGCTACCGTTTTAGACAAAATGTGACAAGTCTAGACCGTGTATCCGTACTTATACACGCGGCGTAGAATAAAAAAATGCGTTTCCAGGCCACGTGTATATTTTTCGTACACTAGTCAAACTACAAAAAATATAATTAAATTATTTAAGCAATGTATCTAAGGTATGTTGATAAACAATTTTAAATACATTGTCATAAAAAAAAATAGTCTGGTGCACAGGACCCTTATGGTGAATTTGGTGTGTGGCAGTCAACGTGTTAAAGCCAAATTAACATTTTGCGGGGAATTTAATGAATGTTATTGTACTTTAACTTTTATTTTATTGTTTTCATAGACAATAACAATTGCTGAGAAAAATATTTTCAATAGTTTAAAATGAACAAGGAATGAAATTTATACGGCTTTGTTTAGAATCAAGATAACCTTAAAATGACATCATACAACGTCCAAATAAATTTAAGCATTTTTAGATTTGACATCTGGAACATTTACAATTGTCAAAGCTATTATGTCAATAGTTTAGTTTGTAAATAATGACAATGACATTATTCTAATTGAATATATTTTATTTTTTAGAAACGCAAATCAAATGGGTCACATGAGTACCTTAGGAGGTTATAGTTCCTTTAACTCGGTTTTTGGTTCTGGTGATACCAACACTCCATCTCTTTTAGACTTTAACGAATTTCCTTCACTTACAAATCGAAACTCTGGTGATAACGTCCCTCAGCCAAGTCCAATGCCCGGTGGTAAACCCTACGTAGGAATGGTCAAGCAACCCACGTCGGAATCGAGCGAGTTTACGATGTCCTCGGAGGATTTTCCTGCGTTACCTGGTACGCAAAATAGGGAAGGAGCGTCGCCTGGAAGTAATGCTTCGGGGGACAAAGGAGTGAGTGGAGGTGCGGGAGATGGTGTGAATTCGAGAGAAGGAGACAAGAGTGGTTCAAAATCAGGTAAGTTTCTCACTTTAAAAAGTGTTACAGCAAACCGTTTGAATGTATCTTAACCCTCCATCACTCGCACCTCAAAAAATTACGCCATCACTCGCGTGTTAGATTTTATAGGTCAAATAAATGAGTCATTAATACTTATTGGTTAAGTTTATTGGCTATTAACTTAGAAAAAACTACTAGGTAAACTAAACAAATATAGACATTACCCTAGAACAAAAAAAAGGGATTTATTCCAAAAAAAATGTAGCATTACGCATAAAATTAGATTTTTTCCTCTTCTAGGCAGTGGTGGCAAATAAAATTTGTTAAACCGTTGTGCTATTTACATATCGGTAACTTACAGTTAGTACAATAATGTTGGGTAAACCTGTTCTTCCTTACAGAGCAAAAAGAACATCTTGGTTTTAGTTCAGCTTGAGTTTAGTTCAGTTGCTTTCATAAAGTCCTCGTAGACACACCGTCTCAGGACTAGCAACTTCAAGTGGAGTCATATGTCACCATGTTACCAAATCTAACGGTAACTTTAACATCTCATATTTAGTGGCTACATTGTCAAATGCTTTTTCAAAGTCTATAAAAGCATGCGTAGACTTCGCAATTTACGTCTCGAGCTCTTTGTATCAATACTTGTATGGAAATCTCTCTCATTCCCAGTCCGCTTCTAAACCCAAACTGAACACTGCTAATGTTTTCTTCTAGATTTCTATATATGCGAGATTAAATAACAGAATGGTTTTGAGTGCATGCCTCATTAAGGTTATAATTCTGTGATCAGAGCATCTGGTGCCATTTGCCTTTTTGGGGAGAGGGATCAAGGTGGAAACTAGCCAATCTGTAGGAAATTCTGCAGTTTCATAGATTTTGTTCAGTAGACTCGTTAGGAGTTTGAGTTGGTTGTTTTCAAATAGTTTTAATATTTCAGTTTGTATGTTATCAGGTCCAGGTGCTCTGTTGGTTTTTAGTCTTTTTATTGCATATGTTATGTTTCTTGCAGTATTTTTTATTGTTTATTACAATAAAAAATATTTCAAGAAATCAATGAGTAAATTAAGTAGTAACCAATATACTTCTAGCATTTTAACAAAATAAACACCTACATGCCGATGCAAGCGTCACTTTATCTACTTTAGGATTATTCAAAACAGTTTTTTAAACCAGAGCAAACTAAAAATAAATAATGCATACGTTTTGTTTTTGAAAATATATTTGCATAACACATTAGCAGCATTTTATCTGCCCAAACTCTGTCATTTCTTAAAATATATTCCATACATAATCAAGTATTTGAAAATTTGCAAAAATACTTTGATAATATATCGCTGAACTGGTTTGAACCTTTTATAATGGAAAGATGGCATGCACGAAGTTATGTTCACGAGTTTTTTTAGTGTATCGAAACAAAACAATAATAATAATTTTACATCCCATACTAGAAGTAAAAGACGCAATCAAAAGTCTCAAACTAATTTCTTCCAATCTAATTTCAATATTCTTTATTCCCAAACAAAAGTTGATTTCCCTACTTTTGATGATAATAACGCCATTCAACGTCAGAAACAACTTGCCAAATTTGATAAGCCATATATGATTTTCACGGATGAGTCAAAATCCATTTTGGGAGTTGGTTGTGCGGTATATATCCAAAACAATCAAGAACACATGATGTTTACACATTCTGTCAATTAAACCAACAATGTTCCATTTATTTTGCAGAACTATTTGCAATATATCAAGCTCTGAACTTCACTATTGAGAAAAAATGTCTGATCAACAAATAGTAATCCCGTCAGGTTTAAAATCTGCGTTGTTTGCTTTAGATAATTCGCATAAGCATGTATACAAAAACAGTATTATCGTCAAAATTTTAGTAAATCTACTATAGCTACTTAAAAGAAATAATTTGGTCTCTTTCATTTTGGTAAAGGGACATGCTGGTATCACGGGTAACATTAAAGCAGATTATTTTATTTTCCAAAACTGGGAAATTCAATGGAATGCTGTAACAGAAATAACAACCTTCATACAAAAATTCACCCTGTTTTACTTACTGCGCCTTTTTCTGCAAGAAGTCATCCCAATAAAAGAGTATATTCAATGTTTGTTAGATGCCTTGTTAATCATGCTACTGTGAAAGCCTATGTTCATAGATTTAATTTAAGTGAAACAGAACTTTGGGATTGTAATGGTAACACTGACGATATTAATCATTGGATGTTCGGGTGCATATATAATGATGCTGTTATTAAGCATCTATTTAAAAATCCTCTGTTTTATATACCTCTCGTCATAATATTAGGCTTAAAAAATTTTTTTGGCATTATTTAAAAAGGACTAAAAGAAAAATTTAGGATAGAATGTTGTCTGTCTTGTGCTGGAATAAAGTCTCTATGAAAGGCATCTTAGCGTGAAAAGTATCCCTATATTATGTAATCCCTTGTTGGTTCTAAATATTCAATTTATGTTGGTCTTGAATGTAACGACTGAAAGTATGCTTTCTTTTCAATTCAATTTTCAGAAATTAACTTTTACCAAAGGTTAGGTAAAAGTGAATTTCTAATTTAGTATCAGTAACCTTAAAACCGTAATTATTTATAAAGTTATTATTAATGACTCCTGATGTCGTTAAGGACATACAAAGAACTGATAAGAATTATTTCCGAGAATTTCTAGTTACTGGATTTCAAACGAGTTCGAAATTTAGTCTCATTATGTTGTGGAGTCTCAACAAGAAAGGTGTTGCTAGCACGCGTAGTAGAACTATTTTGTAGAATGGTGATGGTTAAGTGTATTACGAGTAAACAGATTAGATTGACACCAGAATCCAAAGGAATAGTTTACAATGTATTTAAATAATGCAAATACTATTTCCTGAAGATAATCGAACCAGTATTAAACAACGTGTGAGTGAAATTACTGGAGTATCTTTACGTACCGTAGGAAGGATCATTCAACAAGCGAGTATGTTAACAAACGCTGGGTTAAATAATACACTAAAATTTCCAGCTACACTTTCTTAAAGGAAAGCAACCGTGTCATACTTAAACAGTTCATTAGAAATAACATTCATCATTTTCATTACACTGAACGTTGTATTGTATCATTGAAGCTTTTGCAGAAAAGGCTGTTTAGAGATGTAGGTTAAATCTTATTAGAATTTCACGTAATAATACAAAAACAAAACAAATCACTCAAACTAAACTATATTGAAGTCAAAAGGCACATGTAAAATATGTTGTAAACAATAAATTTAAAAATAGCGTCCTAAGCGTAATGATGTTGTGTTGAGACTCGGTTGTGGACTGTGTCTCTCTTCTGCTCGTCACTACCGGCATCCCCTCTCGAGGGGTGTAAAATAAACGTCGGGTTGTACTTAATGTAGTATACGGGTTGCTCGAAAGTTTTAACAAAGGCTTGAAGAGGTGTACGAGTGGATAGAAGTGTGAGTTCTCTCTACAGAATTGTGAAAGGTTTGAGAGTTAAATGGAACAAAACGAAAGATAATCGATGTTTATTCATTGAACGGAATGATATTCGTGCTTTACGCAATATAATCCAAACTTAAACCATATAGAAATAGTTTGAGCGCAAATAAAAAATGAAGTTGCAAAACAAAACGTTTATTTTAAGTTAGAAGACGTAAAAGTGTTGGCAGAACAGGAATTTGCTAGAGTAACTGTAGATAACTGGAAGAAAGCATGTGAACATGTTGTCAAAGTTGAAGATAAGTATTTGGAAAGTGAACGTCGCATAGATGTAATTACTGAAGAATTAAGAATTTATTTAAATGATTCTAGTGACGACGACAGTGCATCTGATTATGAAAGTAAATAATATAATTTAACATTACGATGTAATAAAATATAATCAAATATCATTGTTTAATAAATTGTGTGTACCTGTATTTAACAATTTGATTTAAATCATACGTATTTTTTGGAACGCCACTGCTTTGTTTGGTGAGGCTTTACTGTTCCTAGAAATGTCCGATACTACAATTGAAACATACTCTAGTTTGTCATTGTACTTTTAAACAGCAAGTTTTAAATATTTTTTTAAAGATTTGCTCAACTTCTTTACTCTTTGCCTCAATTACCTTTATTACATTCTACTGTAATGGTCTATTTTTGTTTCGGGTGGTAATGACGATGGAATAATGCCATGTCAGATTTATTTTTAATAATGCCTACATAATTGAAAATATGGTAAGTTTAAGAACAGATGATTTATAATTTGAAACTAATTGTCTAATCATCCTTCCAGCGATTTATGAAATAGTATATTCATACATGACCTACCATAACATGATATAAAAACACCTTTGTTTTCCATGTACTTGACCTACTTATTATGGTATTATATACGTTTTGCGATATTTGCAAACGCAAATTTTTGTGTTTAATAAATCTTAATGCAAATACTTTATTATAAAATAAAATTTTCCTCTCCACACTTAACCAAATTCTGGGTTTATTCTATTTTCTGCCGGACTCCGTTTTTAAATATTGTATTTTATTTTTTATTTGCGCCAGATATAGTTATTTACCTATGATGGATGTTTATTGCGTTGTTTATATGTCCTTCTGTATGATACTCATATTTAGATGTATTATCTACATTTAGTTGAAACGGTTGGAAAGTTTACATACCTGGGAGTAGAAATATATGCCGATGGAGCAGAGGATGGAGAAATACGAAAAAGGATAACGCAGGCAAACAAAGCTTATTTTGCCCTCTCCCATATATTTCGGTCTAAAAGTGTCCACCGAAATACAAAGATGAGAATATATAAAACTTTAATTCGGCCAATAGCATGTTATGGCAGTGAAGCATGGGTCCTGAAAGAAACATCCAAAAACAAACTCGACACATTCGAAAGAAAAGTACTGAGGAGAATACTAGGACCTGTGAGGGAAAACGGAATCTTCAGAATTCGATATAACAACGAGCTCTATCAACTGTATAAGGAAACACCCCTGTCAGACTTCATTAGAATACAAAGA